CCCTACAGACCTGCAAAGCAGTTACACAGAGGGACACTCAGTCTCCAAGAAGCCAGGAGACTCATCGAAGGGTGTCAGCTGGTGAGCAAGTAGTGGAGCCAGGTCATCTGCCCAGAAGCAGCAGAGGAGTCCTGGGGAGACGGGGATCAGAGGTCTGGGTTACTGGACAGAAGGGTTCCAAAGCGATCCTGCTCATCACACTATCTGAGAAAGAAGCAGCAATGCAGCTCTCTGAGGTGTCACAGCTGATCTGAGAGGGGACAGTCTATATGCATTTGTCCAGTTATTCATTCAGGCACTTAATAAGCAGCAACACAACACCCAAATCTGAAGACCCTGCATGGAGGCCTCTTTCTGCAGTCCAGACTTTGCAGGATTCACACCTGAACAAGGTAGGTCAGAGTAAACCCAAAGCTACTCCCCTAATGCAGTCACCCCTCTTAGCCCTCTCTTACCAGCCCTGTTTTGCAAAAAGGAACAGTGAGGCTCTGAGAAGACAGCAACTTGCCCAAGCTGGTGAAGCAGGAAGCCTAGATCGCCAACTCTTGGTGGCCCTGCCTCCAGTTATAAAGCCACAGAGGTACTGGATTTAATTATTCAAACAAACCATGCCCCTCCCGGTAGGCCACCTTGGGAGGCTGAGTGATTAATACAGGGGACTCACTGGAGGGTCTCTAGTTGAAATGATCCCTCCAAACCAGGGCTGAAGCCCCGAGGAGATGAGTGAGTAACCTCCATTTGCCCACAGAGCTCAGCAGCTGAGTCTGTAGGCCCCTCCTCACACCCACTTCCAGGACCCTACATCACAGCCCTGTCTACAGAGCTGACTGGGGACAACACTCCCATTCCCAAAGTCCCAGGGAGCCAGGGCCAGAGCCAGACACTGCCACTTCTATGCACACATGCTCCCAACTCTGGGTCCAGCTTGGCCAGGATCCACCTGGACTGTGTCCTAGATCAATACCCTGTGCCCCCTGCCCGGGTCTCCCACCCCTTCAGTTCCTCCCAGCCATCCATTCAACTACCACCACACCCCACCTCATCCTTCCTCTCTGCCCTGCTCACTAGCTTCTCCTCCTGGAGAAAGAAGCTCAGTCTCTTCCTTTCTTTAAACAACACCCACCACCACCACCATACACCCATTGCATCTCTGATCTCACTTCCTCTCACCTCACCCTCTCTTGTTAAGGCCACTCTTGGGTGTAACTCATCAATCCAGACTCTGGAGGCCAGACCACCCATGGTCAACCCTGTGTGCCCCCAGGCTGCACCTATCATCCCTAGGCAGTCTTTCCTAATTCTCCCCTCAAAGGAGCTCTCCTCTCCCAGGGGCCTGTCCTCAGCTGCACCAACATAAGGAATTTACTGACTTAAAAAAAATATCTGGGAGTTCCTGCATGGTGTAAATGAGTAACACCTAGGCTACAAACTGGAAGGCTGGAGGCTTGAGACCCCAAAGAGTCTAATGAAAAACAAACTACTTCTGACAAAACCTATGGAGTACACGTGGGGTTGCTATGAGTTAAAATTATTCTATGGCAGTTGTTTTGGGTTTTGTTTGCATTAGTACTGTAGAGCAATGTTGTCACTCTGGAGACTAAGGTGTGCCTGATACAGGCCATGGTCTTTACAATCACTTGCTATGCATCAGAGAGCTGGACAATGACCAGGAAGGACAGAAGAATTATTGATGCCTTTGAGCTTTGGTTCTGGAGAAGAGTATTGAGTATACCATGGACTGCTAGGAGAATAAAAAGGTTCATCCTGGAGAGAGTTAAATAAGGTTACTCCTTGGAGGCAATGATTCTGAGGCTTTGTCTGACATACTGTGGACATGTTGCAAGGAGGGACTGGTCCTTGGAGAAGGATGTCATGCTTGGGAGGGTAGAGGGACAGTGCAAGAGAGGAAGACCCTCTATGAGGTAGACTGATTCAGTGACTGGGATAATTGGGGTGGGTGTGTTGGAGGCAGTGAGATTGGCACAGAACAGAGTAGGGTTTAGGGTTGTTGTACATAGGGTTGCTATAAGTCGCAAATGACTCAATGTCACATAAAAACAACAATTCACAAACGCCATCCCTAAGTCCAGTTTTCTGTATCCCTGTGGTAGTTTGCATTTAGTCAGAGCCGGCCCATAGCTGCCCCTCCAGCAGGTTTCAGAGGAGGAGACTGCCCATCCTTCTCCCGCGGAGCAGCTGATGCCTTACTTGTCCCCAGCAATCTCCCTCATATTCAATGATCTTTACTTAGCTCACCACGCCAGCTTCTGCTCTGGCACATGGCTGTAAAGACAGCAAGAGCTCAGCCTTAAACAGGACAGCGACCTGGTCCTTCATGGAGTAAAGATATTTTGGTCACAGCTGCCTCCCCTGTGGTCTCAGAGGGGTAGCTCACGTCTGGCCCAGCACAACCATCCAAACTGTCCTCTGAAACTGGCAACTGAATATGCCTTGAACCCCTTGTTCTTTCAGCACAAGACAAAGTTCAAGATCTCAAACCAGTAAAATGGGGCTATTTCCATCTGCCCCTCCTGAGACAGAGTGCATGGCCCTGAACATCTCTCTGTGCTCACCCTCAGTCCAAGAGCACACCCTCATGTCATTCACCTTTGCATGCCCGGGACCTGGCAAGATGCCTGGCACCCAGCACGCATTTGCTGAGCAAGACATTCTTTCCCTGTCAAAACTGGCCTCGAAGGCCACAGGATCCACAACACCTCACAGAGGTTGAGCAAGGGGTCTCCTGTGCCCCAGACACAGGCACGAAGGAGTGATTGGCCATAACTCATCTGAGTGGCTACCTTGGCCAGGAATCAGATCAATACTCTGGAAACGATGCCTCTAAGTCCTACGTGGACCCCTGACTGACAATGAGGCTGGGAACTCAGCATTGTCCACGCACACAAAGCAAGCACAGGCTCAAACTGGTACAACCTCTCTGGAGCTCACAGCTTTTTCCATGAGTCCTACATCTCCCTCCAGGCTTGTTTTCTCATCTGTAGTTAGGGACCTCTCCAAAGTACTGAAGAGCAATGGTTTCTCTCTGGAGACTAAGGTGCGTCTGATACAGGCCATGGTCTTCGCAATCACTTGTTATGCATCAGAGAGTTGGACAATGACCAAGGAGGATAGAAGGA